GCTGCTGCTGCAGCTCCAAGCGACAACGTGAAAGAGGTTTGCCTCAGCGCCATTCGGTCTGCTGCTGTGGCGAGTGTACCTGATGAAGAGGATGGGGAAGGGGGGGCCCCCGGGGGGGCCCCCGGAGGGGCCCCTGGGGGGCCCCGGCCACTGGACCCTTTTGCTGCAGATTTGTTTTTGCTGCTGGAGAAGATAATTCGGTCGCCGACGGTGCCGCGTGGCAGCCCAGCAGCAGCAGCAGCAGGGGGAGCAGCAGCAGCAGCAGCAGGAGAGGGCTGCTCGCCTGCAACAAAAGCCCGAGCCATCGGAGTCATTGGGGGCCTCGTGAAGGGACTGTCCCCGCAGTGCTACCTGCAGCAGCTGCCGCAGCTGCTGCAGCTCGTGCTGCAGCAAGTCGACGGAGGAGACTCTCAAGGAGACACTCCTCCAGAAGCAGCACATGAAATAAGAGACGAAGCTTTTGCTTGCTTCCGAGACGTGTCTGCTGCTCTCAAGGAAGAATTCGTCCCCTTCCTCGAGGTAAACCAGCAGCAGCAGCAGCAGCAGCAGCAGCGCAGCGTTAGCAGTAGCAGCAGACCCGGCTGTGCCTTCTTCCGCAGCAGCAGCACCAGCAGCAGCCGCAGCAGCACCAGCAGCAGCAGCAGCAGCAGCAGCAGCAGGGGTGTGGTGTGCTGCAGGAGGTGATGGTGCGGGTCTTGGCGTCTCTGTTCAGCAGCGAGGGTTTTGTAGTCCCCGAAGAAGCAGCAGACTTTGGCCTTGCTGACAGCAGCGACGAGGCCGACAGCAGCAGCAAAGAGCTGCAGATTCGAGACGGCGAGGCCCAAACCCTAAACCCTAAACCCTAAACCCTAGCACGCGCAGGGAGCAACAGAGCAAGGCGGGCGGCGAACGCCGCAGGGGGGACTCAGCAGCAGCAGCAGCGGCTCCTGCTGCTGCTGCTGTTGCTGCTGCTGCTTAGGGCGGGGCGGGAGGCTCGGGGCAGCGGACATTGCTGCTGCTGCTGTTGCTGCTGCTGCTGCTGCTACAGGGTATCTCGACGAGCTCGACTCTGCTGCTTTTTGCCTACGAGCTTTGTGGGAGAACTGCGGGGGCCACTGCATGAAATACTTGCAAAAGTATGTGCCTGCTGCTGCTGCTGCTGCTGCTACTTGTCCTGCTGCTGCTGCTACTCGTGTGCTGCTGCTGCTGCTGATGCCAGTGGTGGTGCTGGTGCTTGTGCTGGTGCAGCTAGCACTGCATCTTATTCTGCTGCCGTTGCTGCTGCTTGTGGCTTCTGTTGGGAGACACCTCTGCCCCGTGTGTTGCTGCTACTGCTGCTGCTGCTGCTGCTGTGCTGCAGGACCTGCGAGGCCATTGAGGTGCTGAAGACCCACTTCCACGACGCTGCGCGGCAGCAGGCGGGATTCTTAATTGCTGCTGTGCTGCTGGCGGCCCACAGGACGCTGCAGCCGCAGCAGGACCAGCAGCAGCAGCAGCAGCAGCAACAGCAGCAGCAGCAGAATGCCGTGCAGCCGCTGCAGCCGCACGTCCTGCAGCTCTGGCAGACACAGCTGTACCCGCTTCTCTTCGCCATTATCAGCGAAGTACCGCTGCTGCTGTTGCTGCTGCTGTCGCTGTTGCTGCTGCTCTCTTTGCTCTAGCTGCTGCTGCTGCTGCTCTCTTTGCCCTTGCTGCTGCTGCTGCTGCTGCTGATCTCGTTGGTGTCGCCGGTGCTACTTCCAGATGGCCTACAGCGCTTGCAGCTTCGAAGCAGGCACCATTCCTGAGCCGCTGCTGCTGCTGCTGCTGCTGCTGCTGCTGCTGCTGCAGGACGTGGACAAGGAGACAGTAGGAGACGCGTTTTCTGCCTTGGGGACTGTGCTGGAGGGTGTGGGGCCAGCAGCAATTTTCAGCAAAGAGCAGCGGGAGAGTTTGCTGCAGCAGTGCAGCAACTTGCTGCGGGGGACCCACATCTGCCAGCTCAACCAGGACGTAGACGACGTTAGCTGCTGCTGCTGCTGCTGCTGCTGCTGCCGTTTGTGCTACTGCTGCTGCTAGCAGTGCTGCTGCTGCCTCTGCTGCTGCTGCTGCGTCCGCTCTCTCCTGCCGCCTCCGCGTCTCCTCAAAGCACTACTGCTGCCACCTCTGCTGCTGCTGCTGCTGCTGCTGCGCAGGAAGATGACTCCCGCCAGGAAGAAGAGTACTTGTTTGAAGGGCTGGTTGCCTTTTTGTCGGCGTTCGCGAGCGCAGCAGCACAAGGCAGCGCAGCAGTAGCAGCAGCAGCAGACCCTGAAGCAGCAAAAGCAGCAGAAGCAGCAGCAGCAAACTGCAACATCAACATTTTCTGCGCAGCATATGCAGAGCTGCATCCCCACATTTTGGCTCTTGCTTCTCACAAGCACTCCAAGGCCTACGCCGCAATAGGCCTCGGCTGCTTCGCTGAGGTGTGCTGCTGCTGCTGCTGCTGCTGCTGCTGCTGCTCTTCACTACAGGCCCCACACGCCTAAGATTTTGAGAGTAGTATGCTCTTGCTGCTGCAGTGGCTGATTTGCTGCTGCTACTGCTGCTGCTGCTGCTTGGCCGCAGCAGGTTTGCTGCTGATTTGCTGCAGCGTTTGACATGCTGCTGCTGCTGCTGCAGGTGTTCCGGGAGATGGGTGCTGCTGCAGTGCCCTACGCGTCGCTGCCAGCAGTGCTGAAGGCTGTTGCTGAAGGTGTGCTGCAGCAGGAAGATGAGGACTGCAGGCGCAACGCCTGCTTCTGCCTCAGCGTCATCTACGAGGTCAGCCTGCTGCTGCTGCTGCAGCTGCGGCTGCTGCTGCTATTGGGGCGGCGCTTGCTGTTGCTGCTGCTGCTGTTGGCGTGGCGCTTGCTGCTGCTGCTTCTCTTGGAGAGACTGTTGCTGCTTCTGCTGGTACTGCTGAGGAGACTCTGCTGCTGCTGTTGGTGCTGCTGTTCTTTTGCTGCTACAAGCCTCTCGTGGACAGAGAGCTATCCTGTTGCTGCTGTAATGTCTGCTGCTGCACCTGGTTTGACCTCTCTGGCGCATCTGCTGCTCCGTTTGCTGCTGCAGCAGCAGCTCGTTTGCCCTTCTAGGGCGAGTGGCAGCAGGAGCTGTTGCTTGGCTGGCGCCGTTTTGCTGCTGCTGCTGCAGCTGCTGCAGTAGAAGTTGTTATCTTGTTGGTGTCTTGCAGGTTGCGGGAACGTCTCCAGCTGTTAGCAGCAAAACAATGGAGTTCTTGCGGCTGCTGCATCCCATTTTTAGGTCCCGCGAAGTGAGCTGCTGCTGCTGCTGCTGCTGCTGCGTTTGCTGGTGGGGCTGTAGCTGCTGCTGCGGTTTTGCTGCTGGTCGATTAGCTGCTTTGCCGAGTGAGAAGGCCGCGTTTGAGCGCGCAGGCTCGGCGTCAAGGGTTTAGGGTGTAGGGTTTAGGGTTTAGGGTTTAGGGTTTAGGGTTTGGGCGTGCAGGAGCTGAACAAGTCGGAACAAAGCACCATCGACAACGCGTGTTCTGCTGTTGCTGCTATGCTGCTGCAAGAGCCTGCGGGGCTGCCGCTGGAGAAGGTTTTCGTTTTGCTGCTGTCGCATTTGCCCTTAGCAGCAGATAGAGAAGAAAGCAAAATGGTGCTGCAGGCGCTGCTGCAGCTAGCTGCCAAGCACCCCGACTTGGTGCTGCAGCACGCCCAGCAGTTCATGTTTGTGAGGCCCGCCACCCCAGCTAGCCACGCAGCTAGCCAGCTAGCCACACAGCTAGCCAGCTAGCCACACAGCTAGCCAGATAGCCATACAGCTAGCCAAATAGCCAAACAGCTAGCCACCCAGCTAGCCAGCTGCCCAACCAGCTTCCAGCTAGCTAGGTATTTATGCAGCCAGATAGCAAGCTAGCTAGCTAGCTAGCTAGTCAGCTAGCTGGCTAGGTCCCTAGGCGCAGTTGGCTAGCGGAGTATGCAGCCGAGGCTAGCCAGATGAGCTGCAGATTTCAAGCAAAGCTCTGCGGAGGCCGATGTAGCTAGCTAGCTAGCCATAGTAGCTAGCTACACATAATAGCTAGCTAGCTAGCTAGCTAGCTAGCTGTACACATAGCTAAGTATACGGCCAGCTAGCTAGACAGCTAGTTATAGCCACCTTCTTAGGCTTAAAGCCAGCTAGCTGTCTAGCCGGCTAGAGGGCCAGCTAGCCAGCCAGACACACAACTAGCTAGCTAGCCAGGGACTAGCTAGCTAGCTAGTTAGCTAGCTAGCTAGCTGGGGTGTTGCTGCGTGTGTGCAGGCCTGCGCCTGCGAGGCCTCCTTCCCAGGAGCAGCACGGCGGCTGGGCCCCGAGCTGACAGCAGCAGCGCAGCAGCTGCTGCAGCAAATGGCAAGAAACCCGCAGCTGCCAGCAGGCACTTTGGAGGCCCTTGCTGCTAGTCTGCAGCAGAAACCCTACGCCCTCGCCTTCCTCAGGCAGGGCTAGGGTTTAGGGTTTAGGGTTTAGGGTTTAGGGTTTAGCGGTTGGCCTGAACCCGAAACCCCACACGCGGGTACAGTCTTTATTTCCTTCGTTTTCTTTGCATTTCGGTCTCTGTCAAACGGGCTTGCTGCTGCTACTGCTGCAGCTGCTGCTGCTGCTGCAATTGCTGCTGCTGGCAGGACTTGCTGCCCTCCAGTTTCGCTGGTGGTCGTTTTGGGCACAGCAACTGTAGCAGCAGCAGCAGCCAGCAGCTGCAGGAGCTGCTGCTACTGCTGCGGCAGCAGCGCTGACTGCTACTGCAGCAGCATCATTGCTGCTGGAGCAGCATCACTGACCGCTGCTGCTGCTGCGCTGCAGCAGCAGCATTTGGGACTGAGGCAGCAACTTGCTGTAGTTTTGGCTGCTCCATAGCGCCGCCTTTACACCATTTGCATGCACAGAGCAGCAGCTGCTGCTGAGACTGGGGAAAAGCAGCAGCAGCAGCAGCTGCTGCTGCAGCTATAGCTACTGCCACTCCGCCCGCAGTGAGGCCCCTGGGGTCCCCCAAAGGGTACCGGGGGTCCCCAGGGGCCCCATGGGGCCCTCTTGGGGGCCCCCCAAAGGGCCCTTTTGAACTTCTCTGGGGGCCCCCTTAAGGGCCCCCCCAGTGGCGTACAAAAGCCCCGAAAGGGGCCCCACAGTGGCAGCCAAGCACCCTAGAGGGGCCCCCATAGGGGCCCCCTTATTCAAATAAGAATCCCCAGGGGGCCCCTATGGGGGCCCCCATAGGGACCCCCTGCATTCAGTGGGGCCCCCAGTCTAATGTGGCCCAAGGGGGCCCCCCAGTAGTCTAATGACCCTGGGGGGCCCCCTTCTTGGAGATCCTTAATGGGGCCCCTAGAGAGTCTCTAACAGATGCCCAGCTTGGCGGCTTGAGGGCCAACAGGGGGGCCCCCTGGGGGCCCCTTTTGCCAGTATAGGAACCCCCTGGGGGCCTCTATGGGGGCCCCCATAGGGGCCCCTATAGGGGCCCCCGTAGGACTATAGGTCCCCCATGGCAGCAAAATGCCGCTTAGGGGCCCCACCTGTTTATGTTCAGGGGAGCCCCCAAGAGGGCGCCCTAGGGGGCCCCTTCGGGGGCCCCTGAGGGGCCCCTGGGGGCCCCCAATGGGGCCCCTTAGGAACCCCTTGGGAGCCCCTGATGGCCCCCAAGAGGGCTCCTCTGAGCATGAGGAAGGCACTTGCAGCTGCTGGCAGCAGCAAGGAGCAGCAGCAGCAAATGTTGATGTGCTTTTTTTTTGAAATATTTTAGTGCCTTTTCTCCTGAGTTTATCAAATGAAAAATAAAACAAATAAGGGCCAATTTCACTGTAAATGAACTATACAATGACGAGTCAATTAAAAGAAGCAAAAAGATGTTAAGAACAACCCCTGGGCCTTAGAGGCCGTGCGGAGCGCCACCTGCTGCTGCCGCTGCTGCTGCTGCTGCGCGGCTGCTGCTGCTGCGCTGCTGCTGCGCTGCTGCTGCTGCAGCAGCAGCAGCGGCCCTGCTTCGCCGAGGGTTTAGGGTTTGGGGTCACCAGACGGGTTCATTGCCGATAATGGCGATTTCCCTGATCTGCAGCGCAGCAGCAGCAGCAGCAAAAGGAAACAAAAAAAGAAAAAACAAATAAACAATATTACCTTTTTGAAGTGCTCCTGGTGTCTGTATGCCCCAAAAAGCATTAACATTTCCCTATTTTATTTAAAAACCATTTTTTACTCATTTGCTGCTGAAGTGCTTCTGCTGCTGCAGCAACACAGCAGCACTGCAGCGGAGGCGCTGTGGGAACTTGAAGACCGCAGCAGCAGGCAGCCGCAGCGGCGGGCCGCAGCAGCAGCAGCGGTCCACAGCAGCAGCAGCAGCAGCAGCAGCAGCAGCAGGCAAGCGAGGAAGCAAAGACCATTTGGAGCAGCCCGTTTTCGAGCTAGCTGCAGCAGCAGCAAGTTGGAAGTGAATTAAAAGTGAAATTGAAATGAAGTTTAAATGTTTAAATTAGAATAAAAATTTGAAATGAAGTTTAAATATTTAAATTAAAATTAAAAGTGTTGAATACCATCCAAGGATAAAGAAGACCCGGGGCTTCGGGCTTGGGGTGTCTAGACACCGCAACGGAGTAGACCACCCGCCGGATGTCATCTGCTGCTCCTTGAATTACTTTTTTTGTTTTTTGATTTCTCAAACAATTTATTTGTTGACATTCAAAACTGTACACAAACCAGGGACTTTCCCCGCTCTCCACGCCGCTCCGACGCGCCCCTGCAGCAGCAGCAGCAGCAGCAGCAGCAGCAGCAGCATGCGCGCCAGCCGCCACGCAGCAGCAGCGTCCAAGACCCACAGCAGCAGCAGCAGCAGCAGCAGCAGCAAAGATGCACACCCGCCACCGCGCAGCAGACGCAAAAAACTCCAGCAGCAGCAGCAGCAGCAGCAGCAGCAGCAAAACTCACCAACGAGCTCTACCTGCCCCAGCAGCAAAATGGAAGGGTCCAGCTCCAGCTGCAGCCGCCTGCGTTCGTCAATGGAAGCTTTTAAAGCAGCAAAGGCCCCATCTCCGCAGTGCTGCAATAATAAATAAATAAATAAATAATTAAAACAAATAAATATAATTATAAATAGGAAGCAACAAATAAGAGGCAACAAATTAGTAAATGAGGGGCGCAAGGGCCCTGAGGGCCCCAGGAAAGAACCACCAGCAGCGGCAGGAGCAAGAGCAGCAGCAGCAGCAGCAAGAGCAGCAGCAGCAAGAGCAGCAGCAGCAAGAGCAGCAGCAGCAGCAGCAGCAAGAACAGCAGCCGCACCAAACGAAGTGTCTCCTCGTCCCCCAGCAAGTAGGCGCTAATGATGTGCTCAGCCACCACGCTCTGCAGCAGCTCGTGCAGCTCAGATAGCCTGCAGCAGCAGCAGCAGCAGCAGCGGAAGCAGCAACAGCAGATG